CACCAGGCCTTGGACCTGACAGGATGAAAAAGGGAGGGTAAAATTATCTTACAACAAAGGGAACAGGCTCTTTCTCACAGTGACATGGGTGGGAAATACAAAGTAGGTCTCCATTGAGAAGCTAATTGGGAAATTGTGAGGATCAAGAGGTAGAACTGACTTCCTTTGCTGCGGGTTCTCATTTCCCTTCCACGGAAAGCCCCTCGGAATAATTTTTACTCCATGCTAGGTGCCTCTGTTATTCAGGGATGTGTCTGCAGGCAAGGAATATCTCATAGAGCTTTCAAAGAATCCTAGGACCAGTTGGGAATATTTGGTCCCTGGAACTCAGCCCCTTGCTCTACAGAAATCCAAATTAAAGGATGCCCATATAGAAGGTTACCTGGACTTGAAGACATCCAATGCAGGAGATCCCACCACCTCTTGAGTTAGGAACCCTTAGGAAGTTTCTTCTAGCATTCAGTTGGAATAAGTCTTATTATTCTGTGTCCTACGTTTTGAAATGAGAGAAAACACCCCTTGTCCTTTTATATGAAATCCACCCTCAGCCGCCTTTTCTCACTGCTGTTCTCTGAAATGGTTGCACCTTCTTGGAATCCTCCTTAAAGGATGGTCTCCAGAACTGGACTGGACTCAAGGCAAGTCTGACCAACGTAGAATAAAGTGGAACGAATTCTTCCTGTGATTTGGAAATTATACTTCTGTTGATGGAGCCTAGCATTGTATACTGCTGGTCACGTCTAGTTTGCATTCAATTACTCTCCCAAAATCTTTTTCACAAGTCCTACGGACATCCAGGCACTCCCATCCTATCTCAGCGCATCGGATTTCTATCTTCTAAATGAAGAGCTTTACGTTTGCCTCCGTGAAATTTTGTTCTGTTCTTTTCCAAGACCATATGTAGGGATGGGTTTGTATGGTTCTGTAAAGACTGATCTAGAGACAAAATATATTCTGCCAGGAGCTGTAGATGCTCAGGTTGGGGAAGCATCTATAAGCCCAGAAATAAATGTAGCGTGGATCATGGACTTTCTGGATTGGCTGTAGCTGGGATAAATTCTTCATGCAGCTGTTGGTCTGCTATCGAGCCTTCAGCCCAAACTCCTGGCTTTAGGACTCAGTTTGAAGAGCATGCATTCCACATCTGGATTGCGGTAGCCAGTCTTTCAACACCAATTATTCAGAAGTGGCGTCTAACACATCAGCCACATCACCATTTTCCCATCTTCTCCCATGGGTCGAGCTGCAGTTAATAAACCCAGACAGGCCAGGAATTGGAGAAGGCCAGAGAGCATTGAAGCCGAGAAAAGTGTCAGGCATTATTGAAGAGCAAGGTTTAATACACATAGGACTCCTTTTGTAGCAAGAAGGACCAGCACCTATGCAAGCATAGAGGCTTCTGAATTGGAGATGAGAGGTCAGTTGTACAAGATCCAACAAGGCCGTGTCGGTCCCTGATTGCAGCTTTTTCTCCCTGCTCCCGAGAGACACCCGAATGGCCTTCGTGAGCCAAATATCTCTCCTCTTCCTCCCTTCTGAAACATCCAGCTAGAGCTTCCAGGGGTTGGGACAACTTCAAAATTGGAGACACCTCTCTCAGATCCATCCCCCCAAACCGAGCACGGTCAAATTTCTCTGCAGAGTTTCTCTGCAGTCCTGGAGAGCTGTATCTCGTCCCCTCTTTTAGTTTCCCACAATGCTGCAGAGGGCGGGGGGCATCCTGGGAGATGAAGGGGTGACTAAGTTCAGCTACTTACCCCTGTCCAAGGTGCTGAACCAGGAAAAGAAGTACCAATATTGTAAAATGAGAGAATGCGCACCAGGAGCTCTTAGCAGCTGTTCAGGGTTTGCTTGGTGAAGGCGTTTCTGTTCCATTATCTGATCCCCTTAATGTGAAATATTCAGGGCTGAACCAGGCGTGTTTTGCAAAGCAGCTGTCTTCTCCTGAGCTACAGCCCTAATATTTGGCTGGGCACTCCTTGAGGAATGGAAGAGAAGACATCCCCTTTCTGACACGTCTCTGGCAAGCTGGATCTCCTTTCTCCTGCAGGGAAAGAACCTTTCTGTCTCTTTGAGTGGCAGTTTTCCAAGGTGCTCCAACTTCAGCTGAAGTCTGGAAAAATTGGGCAAGGGGCTTGGAGGAGGAAATGGGTAAGGAGGGGAAAAAAAACCACAGTCAACTCTGCATTTTTAAATGCCCGTCGTTTTTCTTTCCTCCTTCCCCACCCCTTATCTCGCGGTTGGGGGAAAAAAACGAGATTTGTCTGCTAGTTTAAAAAAAAAAAAAAGGCAGAGAAAGAGCCAGTCTGCAGAGCTTCATAAAAATGATAAATTGCTTTTAGATATTGGGCAGAAGAGAAAGAGAGTTCGTTTTTTATTTGACAATATTAGTCTCTTAGTAGTGTATTGTTACCATGCATATGAGCTTAAATTCTCCAGGCAGCTGGAGCCAAATATCCGTGTATTGAAGTGTAAATGAACCGCTGGCAATGGTTTTATTTCCCCCCCCCCTCCTTTTTATGATTTTTCATATATTTTTTTAAAAAATGTTTTTCTCCTGATATTATATACGGTGATCTCTTCTCCCTCCCCTCTCCCCTAATATGTGTGCCGTGTCCATAGAAATGTGAAATGCCTTACATGGTATGCTAATCATCTCTGATCAAATCAGTAACTTGGAAGAGTGCAAAACAGAAGTGGGGCACGGATAGTCCTCTCTCTTGCAACCCACATACCATCCTTCTGGGGGGAAAACATACCTTCCACCCTCTCAGATTGGCAAGATACGTTAACGGCAATGTATCGGCGGTAGGTCAAACACAGCAGAAGCTGTGTTAAGGAGGAAAACATGACCTAACGTGTGCCTGGCAAAATTAGCAGGAAAGCAACAGAATGATGGAGAGAAATAGCTAAGGATGAGAGATCCCAGCCTTGTTTTTCTGTCCATTCCTAGCTCTGCGAAAGGATCCACACTTGCCATGCCAAGTTCAGTCCCCAGCAGCCTTCCAGTACATGCTGATAGCTTGGGCCAACAGTATTGAGCTAGGTGGACTAATGAGACTAATGAGATTGGCAAACGGCAACGAAGTTGAAGGCTCTGTTGGTGTTATAGATTTGTCCCTGTGTACCTCTGCCTCAGTTTGCCTTCCCTTCCTCTACCGTCACCTTCCACAAGCTTAAGCTACGGCATCTCCTCCAGCTGAGAAACCTGCAACGCCCAGATGTTGCTCAGCTGTAGTTCACAGCAATCCCAAGCGTGACAGCTAGTCACGGAGAGATGCTGGAGCTCAGAAACATCTGGAAGGCCCTCCTTTCCCCAACCCTGCTCTAGAGAACCAGAGATGGTCAGAGTAAACCCAATCTTTCCAACCTGGGGCCTTCTAGAGGTGTTAGACCAGAAGTCTGATCATACAACACTGGTAGTAGGCCAGCCCTTCTGGAAGACAGCGGGTGGGATGACGCGGATGGGGCAGTAGTGAATCTGTTAGAGATATATCTCTGGGTGTAGGCTTCCTCTCTCCCAACGAGAAGGCCCAGGAGGGTTGCATCACCCATATCATATTTTCAGCCTCATGTTCTGCCTCCAGCACCCCGGTTCTGACATTGGACCATGAGCAGAGTTCCAGCTGATGAGTAAAGCATCAGGTTGGCCAGTGGAAGCTTCAACCTCTGGACGTTCTAGTTCAGACTGGAGCCGAGAAAGGTGGTGTTTGGAAAGACTTCGTGATCCGGCGCCAAACAAGAATAAATTGGACTCGACGGAGGAGTAGGCTGAGCTGGCAGGTGTCACTTTGCCACACTTCTCCCTACTTGGAGACTCATTTTCTCAGCACAGGAGAGGATGGATGTAAATTTGAAAAGGTGTGGAAATGCTCCTGAAGCGTGAGAGCTCAAGCTAAGCTAGGCAGGAGTTTTAGAACTGGAATTTCATTGCAAGAAAGCACAAGATCAAGCAGGTACAGACTTCTAGCCTAGGGCTTTGCACAGCTGAATATAAATTTGGTACCCTACACCCGAAAGATCTAAGGAAGATCCTCTGGATAGCGCACTGTCTCCTTCATAATTGCATGTCTGTTTTTTCGGTTTCTCTTACCTGGCTTCCCTTCCAGCTCCCCACTCACCTCCAAAATTAAAAAAAGAACAGCCATCACCTCTACTTCATTTGCAATGTAAATGGAAAACTAGTTTATGCCAGCTTAGCTGATTACATGATAAAGAGAATGGTGCATCTGTTATTAGGGAGTAAACGGGCCTCTCTGCTCATTTCCCTGCACATACACGCACAACACACACACACAAATGGCTCCTGGGATCCTGCATGGAATTACGGTCAGCTTGTGTAGGGAAAAAGGGCGTCTTCAGAATGGTTTGTATTGAAGCTTTTGAATGGGGCTGACCTTGCACTTATGGCTGAACTACAACGCCCAGCCTCCCTCACCCCTGGTCTCCTGCCTTAGGGGGTTGCTGAGAATTGTACAATTTTGGGGTGAGAGCCTCTGAAGCTGCAGGGTGGGCAAACTCTGCCCCCCTCCCCTTCCGTCCTTTGAAAATCAGATTTATGAGTTCATGACATTTATTGCAGACCAGCAATTGAGAGCTGAGTTTCAAGCACATTTCCCTCCTTCCTCACTTCGGAGCGGGGCTGTATGTAACTTACCTGCCCTCTCAACCAAAGGGCTGTGGGAAGCATGGGTTTTGGAGACAGAGGCTGTGTTATCATGACATGCTTAATCTTATTACCCAGGCTGTGGATTCACCCATGACATGGAATTGGAAACTAGCCCGACAGGAGAGTCACCCTGTATACTAAGCCCCCCAAAATAGACCCAGTGTAACATCCCAAGTTGTGTGGGGCTGAGGTCACCCACGGCACCTATTCTTGACCCCAGCACAAGGTTACTGCATCCCGTTTTGCCTATGCTTTTATACTTCACGTGGACTAGAAACTTCGACCCAGTTTTTATCCATCAGCGTAACTCTCTTTCCCTTTACCCCCGCAGTCTGCCGAGGGATGCTGTGCGGCTTCGGTGCTGTATGTGAGAAGAACCCCATGGACCCTTCCCAAGGTTTATGTGTTTGCAAGAAGACCACCTGCCCTCCTGTGGTGGCTCCAGTGTGCGGTTCAGATTACTCTACCTATAGTAACGAATGTGAACTGGAGAAGGCTCAGTGCAACCAGCAGCGTCGCATTAAAGTCATGAGTAAAGGGGCCTGTGGTAAGTGATGGTGGCAAACTTTTCATCCACCCCGCCTCAGACCTCAGATGCTCCTGTGTCTCTTTCCTCCTCCTCCTCCTCCTGCTGTATTAATCATTTTTAAAAGAGAAAGAGAACATGAACAAGGGAAGGGGGAAATAAGGGGAAAAAATCATTGATGCAGAGATCTAGTGTCAGTAAGCAGACAACAGTTGTACAACGAGTGCTCGGGCTATCATTGATGGAAAATTAACCCTCACCACACCAGAGCACATCAAGTTATTTTACAAGGAGAAAAAGGATTTGAGAATCAAAACGCCTCCACTATTTTGTTATTTAAGGAGACCACCGTCCCCCCCAAAAACAATAGAAAAAAAAAACGATTATAGGTTGAGTTTCTGACTTCCCTTTTGTTGCACGGAGTGACATATAACATCAGCCCTTCTTGATGAGAAATAGGCTGGCTGGTTTGCATCGCGTCTGCAACACACCCTCGCAAGACGTAGGCTGGGATGTTCCTAAGTCCAGTTTGCATCCGGGTGATTTTCCGGAGAAGGCCTTGTAAGCGAGGCTAATGAACCCTCTGTGGTAGCATGGCACATACCACCTGAAAGCAAGGGACTGTGCAAAGGAAAACTCCCCGTCTGCTTTTCTCCAAGTAAATTAACTTTGACCTTTTCCCCCTCCCTCTCCGATGGAGAAGTTCCCACTCTTAGTGATAAATCTCGGCTTTCTGAACTCCTGCAGGGAGCTCGATAGAGGTGGGGGGGGAGAAGGGAAGGGAGAGAGTCGGGGTGTGTCATCCTGATTTATTTAAAATAATAACAATGGGTTGGGGGTGGGGGGAAATGTCTAATGAAGGAGGTGGGAAATTAAATAAATAAAGCAGAGCCAGCCAGGGCCTATAAATAAGATACTGCCCCCATCCTAGGAGAAAAGCCAGCAGCCTCATAATGGCTGTCTCTAATTACATTTTGCTCATGGCACATTAAGGATCTCTCCTTGTTGCAATTCAAATCTCATGCGCCCTTTCGCTTGGTGAGCTGGGGGAGAGCAGTGGCTGTGTTTCCCTGGAAAGGAAACTAATCGTATCGAGCTTCCGGCCGCAGACAGCAGGGCTGTGCTTAAGGCAGTTGGGCTTTCGCCATAAGAAATAGGAAAATGGTGGCCGTGGAGGTCTGTTGTTTGACAGTGGCACAGTTGGGCAAGACGGCACCGATCCCATCATTTCTGTTTGCTGAGCACCTTAGAAAGTGGAGAACTGGCGTAACATGGTTTCAAGCACCCCTTCGACTTCTCCATGAAATGCTGAAAAAAATCCCCTTTTCTCCGGTCCCCTTGCAAGGATCCTCCCATTCCCACCCATGATCTGGAAGCCGACGTTGCCCGCCCCTCGATCCCGCGATTCCCGTTTACCAGGTTGGGTCTTCTCCCCTCTTGCCAGGTTCGAAAGACCCCTGCGCAGAGGTGGTCTGCAGCTTCGGCAGCACATGCGTACGCTCCACGGACGGGCAGTCGGCCAAATGCATCTGCATGTCCTTTTGCAGCGGCGTTCCCGAGCACCTCGTGTGTGGCAGCGACGGCAAGGACTATCGCAGCGAGTGCCATCTGAACCGACACGCCTGCGACAAGCAGGAAAACGTCTTCAAGAAGTTTGATGGGCCTTGCGGTAAGCTCCAAGCGCGGAGAGTCTCCGTAGCTCAGGGCTGAACGGTGGGGATCTCGGCGTTCTCTGACGTTGCTGGTTCCCTGCAGACGTTTCATTACCAGCCCAGGTAAATCATCAGTGCGTGGGGGAGTGGTAAGTCCATGCAAGGCACAATGGAGGTGTGAGGGCTTGTCCTCACATTTCGTATCATCCTGGGTGCCGTAAAACCACATTTTTATAGCCCCCTTCCTGCAAGGTCACCAAATCTCGCGATTTTGTGAGATGGCTGCATTCTCCCCCAGTGAGAACATGGAAACCTGAAGAGACTTGGGCTGTTTTCAAAAAGTACTTAATTGGGGGGTTTCATGAATCCCAGCTGGAGCTGTTGTGGGTCTCTGGCACGTGCAGACACTGCGTTGTCCTCCCCTGACAATTTTAGGTATTGGGGAAATAAGGGTACGCTTCCCAAGAGTAAATACAGTGGTACCTCTAGTTACGAACCCTTACGAATTTTTCGAGATATGACCAGCTCCGGCCCCAAAAATTTACCTCGACATGCGAACTCCTCCTCGAGCTACGAACCGGATCCGCGGTTTTCCTTCCCGTGACACATGGTCCGCGGCCATTTTCCTGCCCATTCCACGTGGCCCGCGGCCATTTTTCCACCCTGCTGCGTGGTCCGCAGCCATTTTTCCGCCCCTGACTCTCCCTCCAAGCAATAGCAGCCTCCCTGTCCTCCACGCCA